TTTAAATGATTTATTCTTCTCCCCAAAAACTACTCAATAAACTTCTTGAGGGATTATAACTTATAAATTTGGCAATTTTAAGCTTTGCACCCAAACCTAAGTTCAAATGAATAGATCCAAGCAAAGTTTAGTCATCGTTTATTGTAGCTTATTGTCCTTATAACACATCCTTTAGATAAATTATCATTTCCTCTGCTGCACTAGTAGATGGAATATTTATGCAAATAGATACATTTTGATCTTTTTTCATTATACCGCTACTGAGCTAGAAAATGATTAAAAGTTTTTGAACCACCTCAGGAAATATTACTACTTCAAGTATTTTATCATATTTAAATTTGTATTCAGGTTTCGGACCTTCAGGACATAAATTTTCTGGTGGACAAACACTACAAGGTTTATTGTTTGTAGATCTCATCACATGAATTCCTTTGTTTGTAAATACTATTAATCTTGCTTTAAAATTTTGACTTCCATCTATTGATGCATCGACCCATTATATCAAGCTAATCTTTTCTCTTTAATCTAATTCAAATCCAAATCTCTTTTCAAAAATATAAGTCTCTATTGATTATTTGTATGATGCTTCAAGTAATGATTTAAGGATTTCTTATAAAAATGACTCTCTTAGCTTTTTCTTTTCAAAAACAACTCCTTTCATAAATGCCTCAAGAATATCATATTTATAATCTTTACACTTACTCAAATAATCACCAAGAAACATCTTAATTTGCTCTCTAGCCTTCTCATTTTTTAATTTTATGAACTCGTTTTCATTAGAATCAATGGCGTCATTTTTATTTTCTTGCTCAAATATTCTATACGATATTCCCATATCTCTGAAGAGGATAGCTATAAATGTCCTTATGCTTTATGAAGGAAAAAGTTGAGATATTTATATATCTATTATCTTTTCTTAGGGAGTCCTGCGAGTTCTAGAATGAGATCCAACTTATTTTACTTCCATAGATGACCATCTGAATAAAGAGCATTAGTCACAGATCAATCTGCAAGTTGCTGCAAGCTCATATATTAAAATTTTATCCTCATTTGTGAGTGGCTTTTATTATTCATTTTTTATCTTTATCATGAGTTTATTTAGAATTTTTCTAATGACAACACTTATTATTTCATAGAGTTGAAGATTCTTAAATTCTTCATTCGCCTCATGATTAGGAATTTTTATTATATGTCTCATGACCCTTAAATACTTAGCTCCAATGTTTGCCTCAAACCACCCCGTTGTATCACATAATTAGGTAATATTTCTGAAAACAAATTCGTCTTTCAAGTTTCTGATCGCTTCTAATTTTAGCTCTTGATTAGGTGCATATTCCAAAGCAGCAAACAGACATCTTAAATATGCAGCAATACAGAGTGATCTCATTTTTAAATTTTATACTCCAATCTTGTAATCTCTCTTCTTAATATTTTCAACATTTTGGCTCTTAACTTAAGCATTTTAGACAAATAAATCCTAAGCGGCTTATTCATCATAATTAGAGCCCAGATCTTCCTATTGTAAAGCCATTCTTAGTATGTTAATTCCTTATTCATCCTCATCTTTTTCATCCTCTGGTTTTTTGTTCTTAATTATCCCTTTTGCTTTTCTTTCTTCCTCCTAGCGTTACTTTTCAAACTCGCTCAATTCATATTTGCTCTTTTTCTCAAGAATAAACTTCTCAAGCTTCAATTTACTTGTGTCATAGGCATCAGAGTATTCTTTTTTTAAATATTACTCATATTCAGGAACCTTTTTTGTCAAAAACATTCTAATCAATGGAATTCCATTATTCGATGTAAATAGATAATGCTGTTAAAAATAGGTGTTAAACTGATCAGCATTTGTGGATTGCAATTTTTAAACAAAATCTTCAGAAGGATCATCCCAGTAGGTCCTTTCAGCATTTTTTCTATTTCTTAGTTTTTATCTATAGTAATTTTTAAGGTGTTCAACGACATCAATTTCAGGTTAGAAGGGATCTATCACATCAATATCAATTTTATTCATAAGTATATCCGCCATTCTTTGTAAAAGTCTAAAAGATACATAGTTGTATGGATCAATTGAATCAACCCCCGTTACAGCATAAATGAGCACATCCATATTTCTTCCTATCCAAGTTTCTTCGATTTCGATAGGATATTTCATCAGTTCATAACTTGTACATTACTCATCAGCATACAAAGCTTGCTTGAATTCATCATGTCTACTTGTCATATATTTTTTAAGATCTGGATTTATTGAGGTGAACTTAAGGAAATGAACGCAACTTATAGATAAGGCTAATTTTTCCATCTCTTCGTCAGGATCCTCTACTACTCTCATTAAATTTCTAATAAGTATATCAAGTGCCTCTGATATTGCTTTCTCTCCAAATTTTAATCTGAAATTCTTACCACTATCACTCTCTTTATCGTTAGTTAGCTTCATAAGTATCCAAAAAATTTTAGCTAATACAAATTCAGTTTTACCAGCACCGATATTTTTATAAGAACCTAGTAATCTAATAACTGTTGCTATTTCTTCAGTGTCAAATTCAGATAATGGTACATTGTTAAGGCATTCAACAACAGCTAGCTTAACATCGTCATTAGGAACTTCGAGACAATTAAACAAAGCTGCTTCTCTACCAACGTCATTAAGTGACTATGAAACTTCTTCAAATATAGGAGATGACCCAACTTTTTCAGCTTCCTCGCAAAAAAAGTTAATCAGGTTAATAATCGCAATAAATAATTCCTAAACAACTACATCATCTAAGTGTTATAGTTATGTAGGTTTCTCTTTATCTGCAAAGCTTGATGGATCATAATATCTTCTTGCCATTTTTAATAAGTCTTCATACTTTTTTAAACCCAGATAAGGAATTAATTAGACAAGATTTTGCATTTTCTTTATCTTCGGTTCTAATAAATGCTGATTATTTTTCAATTCTTCTCTTGAAAACAGTTGCTTTGCAAACTTGCAAAGAGAAGTCAGTAGTACTGGATCAGTTTTGTAGTGAGAAGTTATTTGTAGCATCTCATCAAGCAGACCATCATTTATAATTGAGAGTCTTTTTTATCTTTCTGCTTCTAATAATCCACCCAATGCATCAATTTCAGCTGCAATCGTCAAATATTTGAGTTTCACTTTTTCTTCTGTGTCTTTAGAGTCCTCATCTCTTAAATCATTATTCTTTTTGTAAATATGCATGGATTATCTAATATTCTTCATAATATTATTATGCACGGTTTTATCTATAAATTTGTTAGCAGCTGATTCTGAAAACATGCAAATATATTCCACAATTCTCAAGCAATTTATGTAACGTTACTATTCCCATGTACTTTCATCTAATATTTCTGCTATTAATTCTATCAGTTCCTTTTTAATAGCCATGTTAACATTTTATCTACAGTCCTTAAGTGATACAGCTAATAGAGCAATTATTGAGTCATAATGATCATTATTTTCAAAGATAGCTCCTATTCTTTTGAATGAATTTATCTTGTCTAGAAGTGATCTAAGCCATTATTAAAAGCAGTTTTCATAAAGACCAGTAAGCATTTCGGCTTTTCCAGTAAGTTTCACTAATTCATAGAGACCTTTAAGCAGAGATGCTGGAATCATTTCTGGATTCTATTATTGTAATTTATTTACCACTTCTCTTTTTAGAACATCAATAACTCTTTCCTCCATTTCTCTTCCTGCTACCATTAAGTCTTTTAAGGTATTAAAACAGCTAACACCGAAATCATAGAACTTTATAATTGAAAGCTTTGACAAAATTGTTAGCATAATATTTTGTAACTCAAAATGGTTATCAATCAAAAGTTAAGCGTTCTGCATAAAATCTTATATCATGTCATTCTAAAAAATTTAGCATTAATATATATATCTTACAATTTCAACTTCGTCTTTTCCTTTGGCTAAATATTCATCTATCATTTCAAGATGTTCAGTAATTTTATCTACATCTTGGGCTAAATCTTTAAGATGATCAAGTGCATAAGATGGATGGCTATTGGCTGCCTCCAAATTGTGGCATAATAATTCCAGAGTAGGAAAGTAAAATGTAGTTTTGTCAACTTTAGTTTTGCCCTTTGTCCCCTTTTTCTTATCTCCTCTCTTGGTCCCATCTTTACCGCCTTTTTTATCATCATCCAAGACTTATTTGCGATATTCTTCAGCTCTTTCAAAATTGAACATTTCAAGTGATGGTATTTGCGATACAATCTGGTCAAACTTTTTCTCATCTGAAAATGGATTATTAGAAATAATTAGTGCTTTGAGACTTTTAAGTCTTTTAATTTTCTCAAGGAAATCGTAAAATTCATGATTAGATGAAAAGTCTATCGAATTACTTCCAATATCTAAGTACTAAATTGACAATGAACTAGGTGGTTTAAATTCAACTCTGAAATCTGAGATTTTGTTAGCATTTAAATTCAATTTTTAAATTTTAGGCAGTGAGTGAAGCAGAGGGAACTTATTAATATAGTTATTATGCAGATCTAGATCTTCCAATCTTTATAAATTCAAGTTTATCTCTGTTATATAGTTATCACTTGCTTTAATTGTCCTCAAATTACGAAATTAGTTCAAAATATCTATAGAAGAGAGCAAATTTTTATGCAAATCAATTTCATAGAGCGAGTCCCATTGTATGCCACTCATAAATGTTAAGTCTTAAAGCTTCAAATTTTCTAGGACTAATTTCTGAGACCCTTTTTATATTTCTTCCTTTATTATCTTCTCTGCTTCAATTCTATAGTCTTCATCATCTATATTATGCTTATCCTAGCCATTATTCTCCCCACCTAAGGTGGAATTATTCTAGTTCTTTTTATTCATTTTTAAATTAATGATAAATCTCTTACTTCTTTCAGCATTTATTCAAATATTTTCTCAAGGGGTTTTGGGGTTTTGGGG